TAATACCCAATCTAACCCTGCCCTCTGTTAGTCTGAAGCCATTTCCCATGTCCTGTCACTCCATGCCCTTGCCAAAAGTCTCTCTCCAGCTCTCTTGGAGCCCCTTTAGGTCCTTTTCTTCTCCAGGCTGGACAAATATCTTCTGCTGTAGTTTGGTAATGAGTGAAGATCAGATGTTTTCCTACTAAGTAAGAACTCCCAGTGCATAATTATTTCAGACTGGGTTGTTAAGGAAACCATAGGATGACACCAATAATCACTGCAAGACTAAGTAACTATTTGCTAGAAACATTTTATATAAAAAGCATGTAGAAAAATTAGTATTTACATGTTAACTCGACCTACATCCAGAAATAAAAATTTGCTACATTTGTCATTCAACATAAAGTGAGATGAAAAGTGACATTCAGGATATGGTACAAACAGAACTAGCTATATTTTTGCATTCTTCTTCTGTATCCCATCTGAAATTCCTTGATAATCTCCCTCCAGGATAATATGTCGCAAGCATGCCTTTGGATTATTCAGAAATGATTATTTGTGTGATTCCTGTTGCAATATGCTCTGTCTGCATGCAGAGACCAAGAATATGTACACTTAGGTAGAAAAGGAAGGTAAAGCCAGGGAACATTCCCCAGGTGACAGCAGGTGTGGTGTTGAGAGTTAAGGAGAGTACACGGAGAAAAAAAAAATCTGTCTGTAATATTTTGTCTTAGCAACAGCTGCAAGTTTGTGGATTCCCCCATGGATTCCTTCCAGTCCCTTCTAGCAGCCACGACTCTGTGTAACACATGGGGAGGGTTTCTGACTCTAAGCTGCCACCAGTGAATCTGAAATACTTTTTCACAGTTCAGATAGGCTCCTAAAACAACATTTCTTTAAAAAAAAGTTAATATAATAAAAAAACACCACCTCAAACCTGGTAACATGGGTCAGTCCTGTCCAAGATCACAAAGCCCGGTCCATCTGCAAGGAGAACCCACAAAAGTTGTTTCTCCAAGATAGCAGACATCCAGGTATGTAGGGAATGGCTCTGTTCTCCCACCCTTTTCTGGCAGGGAGAAAATTTCTGAATTAAACCCTGAAATCAGAAAGAAAACTGTAGAAATGTTCTCTGTTGAATCAGATGCTTTGAGGAGGCAAACTAAAGTGTTCCAGTAAAGGATGAAGACTTTCACATACCTGATCACCACTGAAAACAGTGTATGTGATGCTGTTAAAACAGCAGGCAAAAGTTATAAGTCATTATTTTAGGCTTATGGCAGTGTGTTGCTTTGTGCTAACCTGTCAAAAGGAGAGTATTCCTGAAATTCTTCTCTTACTGCTCCAACTCAGGTATTTCAGTCAACCAACATACCTGGTTTTCTGAATGGCTAAATAAATGCAGGGGCTCATGTCTATTAATTTACTGTTGTTGCCCGAGTAGTAGGATGAAGGACACATGTTTACTCGTGAGGCCTCTGTGCAAGGGCTGCTTGGTGATTTAATTACCAGGACATGCAGGTGAACGTGAGGGTTCCCACGGCAACCTTTGTGCACTCAAAATGTAGACAGCCAGACTTTCTCCTGGCATCATTCTGCTGATGTAAAGTAACATTTGCAGAACTCTCTGTCTTTCCCTCCAGTTTTTGTTCACTTGCACCTTCTCTTCCCCACTATTTTCTCTGAACCTTGGCAAAATGCATTCATGGTACAAATTGCTATTGCTTCCCTGACAATGCTGTGGATGTGCTGATTTATGCTCCCTGACTTTTGCTGTCAATCTACCACATAGAGCTTAAACATTCAAAACTTTTAAATATAAAATAGCCCTTCTTATAGAGTTCAAAATATATTGGCAAATTTTTCAAATTATTTAGCAAAAGGAAAAAAAATTTCGACCCATTCCTAAAAATTAAATCCAAACATCATTACCCAAATATGCAGCTCTTGTTTAAGTACAGATACTTGTGCCTGTTTTCCTTAAAATGTTAGTCATTGGGGTGTTGTTCTGCATTACATCCCACCAAATACAGGCCAGTACAAATACACATGGGAGAACCATGTCATGCTTAGTTTGTGGCAAATTTCTCATGGAATTCAGTATTTACAGAAAACCACCTCTGGATTGAGCACTTGCTGTTGACAAGTGTAACACCAACTACATTACTGATCTTACTGGAAGCCTAGTGAAATCTTTGCAGCATGGTAATTAAGTAAGTAGGCACTGTTATAATACGTTGATCAAAACATGGATTGATTTCAAAACTCTTCTGTGCCATTTCAGCGGCTGTTTTTGTGTACAATATCCCAAATAAGAGACTCACGTTTACTCAAGACATGATCCTGAAAAATGCTCAAGCACATACTTAATTTCAAGCATGTGGATACCCTGATTTAGTTAGACTGTTCATGTGCTTAAAATTAATTAGGTGTTCAGGTGCTTGGTTAGATGAGATGAAGATGTGCTTGTTTGGTCTTCTGATGGTCTTTTAAGGTCTGAAAACTTGTGTTCAAACAAAAACTTACAGAGAAATTCCGTGGGCACTTGGAAAGCAGCATGTGCAAAGGCTCCTTACAGGAGCTGAGATATTCAAGACAGGGTCCCAATGGAGACCACAAATAAAATTTGATATCCAGTCTCAACCTTGAGGGACTGGATCTGGAGCATCCTCTATCCCACCTCCAGAAGCCAAACTGGTGTGGAGCATCTTTGCAGAGGTGGTGGCGAATGCTTACCTGCCTGGGGTTCTGGCCAAAGGTATCATCTGTGGTGTGTGAAACCCTCACACATCCCCAGCCTGGCTGGGCAGCAAGCTATGGTACCCGTGCCTGCACACAGCATCAGCACCCACAGCCCCCTGCTGCTGCTCCTTCCTGGCTGTTGGGGGAGAATTCGGCATGGTCGGACCTTGCGCTGAGTGAGCTGAGAAAGGGGAATCTGCTGTTGTTGGTATTGATACAGTTCTTGCTTATTATGGCCTACTTTACAGAATTTTAAGCTGGTCCTGACTAGAAAAACTGAGCCCTCTGAGAGCATGATTTCCATCTTCTAACCAATCATAAAGGCTCCAAAAAAACTTGCTTCTTTGTCCATGTCAACTATGTCACTGTTACTGACAGAGACAAAAATCCTGTCCTCTCTTTTCAGCTGAAACACACCACCTTGGTAGATGGAATAAAGTCCATATTCTGCCTTTTTAGACCAGCAGCTTGTTCTTGCACTTTTCATGAGCAAAATGGGCTCAGGGTAGTTAGTCAGTTTGTAAACGTATTGGACAAGCTGTTTGGGGTTCCTGATTTGTCCCAACAAATCTGAATTCTCGTTCTCGTCTTCACGGAAACGAAAGTAAATCTGTGAGTAGATGTAATAAAAGCCTGTCTGGGGTATCACTAACTCGCCATTTCTCAGCTCCACGTTGTGAAGGAAAGAGGGGCCTTTCCTTGACGATTCCCAGTTGTGTATTTTTTGTCCATTCCCTCTTCTGGGCAAGTGATCTACTTGGGAAAAAAAGAGAGAAATGTTAACTTAAGCCCCAGATAGTGAAGCCAGGAGCCTGCTAGTTGAGGATTCTGGTTTTTAGTAGCAAAGTAAGGAAACCTGCTCTTCACAGTGGTTCATTAGGTCCATTCTCACAACATGATGGTCCAGAAGTAAGCTGTTAGCTTTACGTGGGAATTAAGATGAACTGCCTCTATTTTTTTCATTTTTGTGTTCGCAAATAAGAGAAAAAATCTTGCTGTTACTTAGTAATAAAGTTTAAATATCCATTTGTTTCTGATACCCTCTGAGGCTGCAAAAACCCTACCAAGCTTTTCATTAACATGGCCTGAATGTCAAGTCTCTCCTGTCTGTCTCATATTTCTAATAGGTCTGTCACCATAGCAGCTGGGACTCACACAACTAAGAGAAGGAAATGAAAAGAGGAAAATTTAACATTAGGAAGAAGGTCATCTAATTTTTTCTCCCCAGTGAAGAAGATTCCAGAAGAAAAGTTAGGGAGGTACCCAGAAGGAAGGGGCTTTCTCCCTTTTGAGTGAGAAGGACCTGAAAAAAACAATGTCTGGGACAAAACGTCTGTTTTATGATTTGTTTCTTACCATGGACTCCATCCAAGTATTAAAAAGTGTATGAGACTAGCAAGGAGGGAGTAATTTGTGTAATTTTTAACTGTTTTTAAAGGTTTTTCCTTACTGCGTGGGGACAGGGAACTCCTCCTGTTGCTGTTGCCTGTCAGATGCGCCGCAATCCTGTGGATGGGACCACGTGGCTGCTGCCCATCTGTGTGTGGCAGTGTCAGAGTCCTTTCAACTGGAGGAAGATGAGGAAAGAAACTTCACATCAGAAGCAAGAACGTTAGAAAGCACATCTGTCTCATTGGACTAGATTTGAAGGTATGTCATTTTTAATTGACTAAGTCACAGCCATTATATTATATATATTATATTCCGGCTAATAAGGCTCAAATTTCTCTTTCTCCCTTGTTCTCCTTGAAATGTCTTTATGTGCCTCTTTGTTCTCCCCCTACCTTCACAATATCAATGACACAATAGCCCCCTAATCTTCACTCTGAATTTCCACTTGGAGGTTGCAATGCTTTGCCCAGTATCTTCAGAGCTGTAGGAGCTTCTGCAGAGCTACTCCTTAACTGATCTCTGCACACAGCACCTTCTTGCAGCTTGTTCCCAGGAGCTGGGGTACTGGGAAGGCTATTTAAGTGTGCCCATAACACTGAGATCTCAAGGCTGTCCTCTGCATCCATCTTGGTTAACTTACTCTAACCACTTGACCATATTTCTGGTTCCTGAAAATTTACCTTTTAGTAATAAGCAATCATTTTTCGATGACTTGATGCCAGTACAAGAGCTTAGTCAGTGTTTTCTGCACTTTTAAAAAACTGAGTCACTACACATCAGGTGCCACTAGCAGCTCCTTTTTGCCACAGATAATAAAATTATTATAATACCGTTGACTGCAGATGTGTTTTCCTCGTAGCTTCTCGACATCATCTGCCAACAAACACAGAGGAAACAAATTAGCTTGTCAGCTGAAGCTGACAGGTGCAGGAAAAAGACACTCCTGGTTTTACTCATGAATAAATGGTATTCTGGATTTGATCAACAAGCAAATAAAAAAAAAGCCTATTAATTTGTTGTCATAAAGTATTTGTGCATTTACATCTTTTATGTAACGAAATATATGGGAAAACATTTTCAAGAGAGCTTGTCCATAAGTCTGTTGGGAAATTTGACCCTCATGGTTCTCTCAAATAAGAGATAGCATTCAAGCACCAGCTTCCATTTTCAGAATACTCAGCAGTGTGCATTTTGGTGGGCTCTTAGCTCTGAGAAATTAAAGCTGGTTTTATACCTCTGTCTATATACCTGAGCTCTTAACCCAGCACATTTTACTCTGTGCATTCTCCTTCCTTATAACTGTTTGGTGACTGCTGAAATGAGCTAGTTTGGTACAGACAGTAGTACAGCTGCAGCAAGGATGGTGATGGTTTGAGGTTATATACCTGGGTGATAAACATGGGCCTCTATTGCCTTGTACTGATGTGTTCTGCCCTGACACATTTCTATTTATCCATCTATCCTATTAGTAGTAATAGCATCATTATCATAATTTTAACTAATTTCTGGCGCCCAGGATACCTTTTTTTTTAAGCAATCAGGGAGCTTGTAGGTATATTAGCTGTATAAATGTCCACCAAATAATACAATGTTTTCTCCATGCAGAGTTTAAGGAACTTCACTGCCAGAACTTCTACCAAAGGAGCTGAGATCTCTGAACACAAATAGAGGATCTGTTTCAGACTGCAAGATTTGCCAGGTCAGTTTCAGCCAGAAGTGAATTTTTATGGACAAGCTTGTTTATGTGCTGGAGATGGAATTTTGAAAAACCATTCCAGAAGGTTTTAGCCTTTATGATTTTTCAGCCAAGCTGATTTTCTTCTCTGTAGCCAAAATCATGTGTATTGTGAGTAAGCCATGCAGGAGATGCTTTCTGAATGCTGCCCTGGGAAGGTGCTGTGTCTGATGCTGTGTGTTCTCTTGCTCTTTCCTTCCCCACTACATTACACAGCTCACGACTAGACCATTCCTCAGGCACATTTGTACCTCTCCCCGTGTTACATTTAATCTCATTTTCTCATCCTAGTCTCCCTCTATTTCCAAAGAAGCAGTGACAGCCCTGCTAGCACCATGATCTATATGGTCAGGTAGAAAACAAGTTTGAGTCAAACACTTCTACCCTGAGGTATTTCAGACAAGACAACCTATCACTAAAATTTGCTTAGCAAAAGCTGATTGTCTTTGCTTTATTATTTCCTGAATGTAGTGAAACCGCTGTTATGGGGTTTTTTTGCTTCAGTGCAAGCTCTCTGCTGCTAAAGCTGTGACCTGACTATTGCTTTGCAATAAAACAATCTGAGTCCCCTTTATTCTGCTATTAGGACTCTTCAGCTGTAATATCACCAAGCACACTCTTCCCAAATACCTTTTTAATTAACTTTCCCAGGTGCCACTTTACTTGCCAGCAGGGATCAGCTGCTCTGTCTTCACTTTCAATTAGATCCAAGTTTTGGATGGAATCTCCGATTTCCTCCCCGGTGAGACAAGCGATGCTGCTCTTGGAGTACATGTCCCGGAGCTGCAGCAGAAGGGAAAGCCAGCATTTTTCACCCATGATGTGTTTGCAGATGTTCAGCTGTGCTATGTCACTATATTCACTACACTTAGGAACAGGTTTTCTTTTCTTTAAAGCATTTACTTGTATGGTGCAAGTAGGACAATATAAACAACACGAGTAATTCATCCTGATTTGACAAATTTAACTAGGATGGCATAGCTAGTATGCAAAAATATACTTATGTTATCTCCATGGACATAAATTTGGTATCCAGTATTCAACTAAATAAGCTTTGTGAAATACCCAAATCCCTAATGTTGTGAATTTTTTAGTTTCTCTAGTTCTGCATTTTAAAAAAGGTTCTTTTGCACAAGGGATTTTTTTCACACAAATTACTGAGGATGAAATCAAATCCCAGGCCTTAAAAGTCTTTTCAGCCAATGCCATTTATAATTCAGACTTTTGCTGTTATATATCCATCCCATATCCAGTTTGGAGTCTCTCTATAACTGTATTTGACCTAATAGTCCAGAACAATGTCTAGACAACAGAAATGACATTTGAGGCCAAATAAAATGCTAATGCTGGATGCTGGTGACATGGGCCTATGTCTATATCCTCTAGTCATAGAGAAAACAAGTGCTTTTCTGATAAAGAGAAATGAGATTGAAGAGATTGGCAAAACTCTGGTTGGATCCAAAGGAATCTGACTAGGAGAGTTGATATCCTAGTGGAAAGCTCTTTCCAAGCTCCCTGAGGATGAGACACACTCGACTCCAGCTGGCGCTGTTGGTTAATGTGGGAGCACAGAACCTGTGCTGGCTCCAGCACATGCCAAAAAACCAGCCCGTTTGCTTTGCACTGTGCTGCTGCTGCATCAGCTCCAGAGTGGTCAGGCTTGTTGTGCCAGCAAAGCACTACAGGAACTTGGAAGAAACAGCAATAAACATGCAAAGCATTGGGATGGAATTCTGGAGGCAACATTTCCATTTCACTTTGCTTGTGTTAAAGAAGTTTGGTTTGGTTTGCTAAACAGATACATTGATTCAACGAGTGCCAGTTCCAACTGTCCTTGAGACAGGGAGATCGAGAGCAACAAAGAGATGTGAGTCACCTCCTCCCTCACACTCCATGCTTTTCCGGGCTGTTAGAAAACAAAGTCCTTTAGGAAGAGATTTCCGGCTCCAGGAGGAGTAGAATTCACCTCCTGTAAGTCCCATCTTCAGTTTGCAACAGCAAACTCCACTGTTGCATTTTGTGGGCAGCAGAGGGAAATGGGAACACCCCTACGGGTATTTGTGAAGGTTTCCCTGCCAAGGCATATGGTAATATTCTTAAATCAGGTTTCAAGAACTCAAAGTGATTAATATTATATGTTCATTAAGGTAAAACCACACTTGAAGCTACGGGCTCTGACAGATTTAACTGTATGAGCTTCCATAACAAAGTCGTTTAACGAGTTTAAAAAAAAAGCCAAACGTAAGCAGTTGAGATGTTACTGTATATTCTCTTGGCAGATCAGCTCTCTCTCAGCTCTCAGCTTTGCCCTCCCAGCTGGAAGCAAACAGTCCTGTGCTTCAGCCTCCTCCTTACCTGCAACACCTTTCCCCCAAACAGCTTTACTATCCTGGCAGTGGATCAGTATTTTATATGCAGTTTGAAGTCCTCGGGGAATGCAACCTTGCAGCAGCACAGTATGATACTCTAGGATTGGAATTTCTGTTTTAAGACTTATTCAAATGAGGTATCTCTGTAGCACTGAAGCCTTTGAGGACGAAAGTCCTGCAGGAATAGTATTTTGTAAATGTAGGAGTAGTGGTGGGATCTGTTTTTGAAACAGAAGGATATCCTTGCAGCCCTGTATCCTGAAGCATAATGAACTTTATTGTCGCAGCACTTCCTTCTTAAGCGAAACTCTTAAACAAATGGTCATACTCAGTCCTACTTAGGTTACTACAGCTGTAGAGATATAACCCTGCTAGCTTCAGTGTGTTTTCTGCAAAGATAGTAATATCTGCAGTCTGTGAAGCCTAGGTGTAGAAATGCAGGTATTGTGAACAACAAAGGGAGGAGAAATGGGCAGACAAAAATCACAGTTTATCTTTTGTGATTTATTCCGCATGCACCATGTGGATGTGGGGTAGCAGGCTGTGTTTCTAGATAAGCCTTTTCCTTATTTTGTACACCAAATTGCACATGCAGGAATATGTGCCTAAGGTACCCACTCCAGAGACAGCAGCCTTATTTGTAGCCCAGCAGAACTTCACTGTGGGCAGACTTAGCCCTTCCCACCAAATGCAGGCTTGTTATTCTTCAGAAACAGTGAGTTGTATTCTGGGCAACTACCATGAGATTGGTTGTGTCCCAGGAGTACATATTTGAATAAAAGGAAGGGACAGATAAGTGTGGTTACTAATTACTTACATTGGCAAGCTTGTAAGCAAAGGACTCTGAACTGTATGCATGAAGAAATTAAAACACCTTTATGTTTTCCTTCATTAGCAGTATTATGTAACCTGATTCCATAAAATCAACATATTTCTGTGACATTTCAGCAAATATGGGACAGTCACAACTATAAACTTAGCAGGAAAATCTGTTTTATACCTTTCCAGAGTATGAGCATTGGCTCATACTGTAGAATACTGTACACCCTTTGCCTCACAGAGAACTCTGACATCTCAGAAGATTCTGCCTATTAAATTTGATGTGGAATAAATGCATGTGTATAGTGTATGTCATTAATAACCATGCAATTAATTATGCATTACTGAGTGCATATACACCATAATAATTCACATTGCTGCACTACTTCCTGAAGTTGTCTATCTGTACAACACCCACCTGCAGTTATGTTTATCTTTGTGCCAAGGTGAGCAACTGCTACAACTTACAGCAGGACAGTAAATTATGAGCAAGACACTCATGGAAACCCCAAGTACTAGGAAGACCACGAAAAGCAGGACCACACATACAAAAGCTCATGGGACTATCAACTAAATGTAACTTTCTTGGAGTGCAAATGCTCTTTTGCAGGAAGAGGAAGGAGCCAAGCAGCAGGGAGAGGAAAGAGTTAAGCAGCAGCTAGCAGGCCTGAAGGGTGTCCGCAAGGAGACTAAAGCATCCAGACTATACAACGGGTATTCTACAAGTTATTCTAGGAAATTCAGCTGTTGTCTGCAGTCTGGTGCAGTTCCTTTGGGATTAGTCAGTCTTAAAACTATGCATCTTCCCTACAGGATGCATCTAAAAGGCACCTCAGCTTTCCACAGTCCTTTTCCCCGGTGCCTGCCCAGCTGACAGAGGCTGTTCCAGCCCTCCCAGCGCCGCTGCTAGGGGCACCGCAAAGTGATGAGGCGGCGAATTTGCGGCTCTAATGAAAAACACATTTGCCTCTCCGCTGCATAACTTTTCTTTTCTTTTGTTTCTACAGGCGAAAACTTTGTAGCTGTTGCAGCTTTGAACTCCAACCCCGCGCACACCCACGAGCGCAGACAAAGGCGCGGGCGAGGGGAGCAGAGCTCTTTGTCTGCGGGGAGCGGATGGCTCAGCCCCTGCCCACGGAGGGTCTGCCCCGGGCTCGCGGGGGC